GGGCGGAGGAAATGGCCCAGACAAACGTGGGTTCTATGGGGAGAGGATTCTGAATTGGGGATGGTCATGCTTTAGGGCTGAGACCCGAAAATAATAATGACTCACTTACTGAAGGCTTACTATCTGCTGGAATTTTTTAAAAATTTGATAGTTAAGGCTGATAAGATACTTCTTAAGTGCCAAATGTGTACTGCCTTCAGTACTTTACATAGATTAATTTATTTGAGTAATGATGGAAAAGAGCTATCTTTTATGGGTCTTTTATATTCAACAGGGATTAGTACTATGCTTATTTTAGTGTAGAAAACTAAACGTGAAGACAGTCTCTTGCTCAGGACCACATGGCCACAATGTCAGAACCTTGATTTAAATCTACATCCGTACCACTGTGCAGCCTGAAGTAGCAGGCCTTAATTGAAAGAAGAAACCTATGATCACAAGTAACTTGCCTAAGATCCTTTAGCAAGCTTCATCAAAGGCTGGCTGTGGAAACCAAGCCACAGACCTCTTTTAATCTTGGTCATCTGTTCCTCTCACTGAGCCTCTTTGGTCAAGGTTTTGGGGGGTGGGCTTTCAGCACAGCTGTTAAGATGCTTGCATCAGGGTGCAAGGGTTCCAGTCCCGGTTCTGCCCCCAGGTCTAACTTCATGCTAATGCTCAGTCTGGAAGGCAGCAGGTGATGGCTCAAGTATTTGGGTCCTTGTCACCTGCATGGGAGACCTGGATTGAGTTCCCAGCTCCCAGCTCCCTCAAGGGCAATTTGGAAGTAAACCATCAGATACACAGAAGTCCCAGAGCATTTTAGTTCCTTGCCGGGACACAAGCCCTAGAGCTGTTTTAGCTACTAGTTTATGGCTCTTATCACCTGGTACAGGCTCTCTGATGCATTATGACTCTGTCTATCTAACATACCCAGTTGTGCCTAACCCCTACACTTTCCTCTCTCAAACACCCCTACAACTTCCTTTTTTTTCAGTCCTGGACCTAAATGATGTCTTCTTCACATTTCCTCTTGACCCATATTCCCAACCACCCTTTGCCTTCACTTGCTCTGACCTGGATTCTTGTCTTACTTGACAACTCATCCAGACTGTGTTACCCCCAGAGTTTTTGAGACACCTCACACTTCTTTGGCCAGGCCCTGGAGGCAGACCTAGCCTCTATTAACCTTTCACCCAGCACTGTTCCTCAATATGTTGATGATCTTCTACTCTGTAGAGCCTCCTGAGAAACTGGTCTCCACCAAACCACTAGTCTTTTAAATTTTCTAGCTGAGAAAAAGCTATAGGGTATCTCAGAGAATAATCTCGACTTCTGTTACCTTCCTGAGACTTCTGACGCCACACACTCGTGCAACTCCTCAGGCCTGAAAACAGGCAATTCTCTCCCTTCCTTTCCCACGTACTAAGCCTGACCTTCTCTCTTTCTTGGGACTCGTGGGATATTTTCACATCTGGATTCCGAACTTCTCTCTTATTGCTAAAGCTCTCTATGAAGCAACCAAAGGCAATCTAGATGAGCCCTTACAAGAGACCTCCCCCTTAGAAACCCCATTCCAAACTCTAAAGAAAGCTCTTCTACAAGCACCTGCCCTGAGCCTTCCTAACACATAAACCATTCCTTCTCTATATGCATAGCTCTAAGGGACAGGCACTCAATCTCCTGAACCAAGTGGCAGGGAACTGTACCACCCCTGTAGACTATTTCTCCAGACAATTGGGTGTGGTTTTTTAGAGCTGACTTCAGTGCCTCAGTGCCTGAAGATCCTAGCCATTGTAGCCCTCATACCTGAGGTGCAGAAACTCAGCTTTCATAAACCCCTACTTATCCCTACATAGACTCCTGTGGGCTGTAAGACCTTCTAAGCCACTGGGCTGTTCAGTCTATATTGCCACCTTGCATCGAGATTCTTCATTCCACTCTTCTGTAGCACTCTGTCACCTTCCATCACTGCTCCTCTGTTAACCTGGCTGCTTTTCTTCCTACTACCTTATCTGATTCCCACAAACCCTACACTTGCATTGATTATCTTGACTTTTCCCTCACTACATTCCACCACCTCACCAACACTGGATATATGATAATCAAGGGATACCATGATGATATCTTCTCTTTTCCCCACCCTGAGGGGTCATCGATACTTGACTCCTACCTCAGGGTACAATCTCCCCAAAGGCCAAACTATTGGCCTTGACTCAAGCCCTGATCTTAGTCAGCTAAGGGAAAGACCACCAACATATACACAGATTCCAAAATGCCTATAATATAATCCACTCCAATGCCCAGATATGGAAAAA